ATATATATGACGATTAAGTTGACACGTATAAGGATTGAAATGACGATTAACGAAAACGTTGACCAATGGATAGTGGATTAATTAATACCGGTTTGTATTAGTTATTTATAAATTTATATAAATGCATGGCTTTGCATGAATTGAGATACATAAGCTTTATGAATTTATTTGGCTATGAATATGATATAGACTCTATCTAGGTTGATAGAAGGTTGATCATAGGATTATAAACTTGGTGGAGGACCCTAGGACTAAAAGTCCTTAACACTCATATTATAAATTGGTGGAGGACCCTAGGACTTGAAGTTCTTAACACTCATATTATAAGTTGGTGGAGGACCCTAGGACTTGAAGTCCTTAACACTCGGAATATAAATTGGTGGAGGACCCTAGGACTTGAAGTCCTTAACACTCATATTACAAATTGGTGGAGGACCCTAGGACTGGAGTCCTTAACACTCGGATTATAGATTGGTGGAGGACCCTAGGACTTGAAGTCCTTAACACTCAAATATATATATTGGTGGAGTACCCAAGGATTATGTTATCCTCAAAACTCATAGTTTATGATATTGAAATAAGGATAAGGAGGAGTCCTATACACTCATAAGTATATGGATGGGTTGGGGTTTTTAGTCAAGAATATTGACTAATACTATTTTCCCCAAACAAAACGGTGATCTACGGATCAGGTATTTTTCCAAGTGTATATATACTATCATGTATTTCTTAACTTGGGGGAATGGACTATTTACATAAGTATCACCCTATGTTTGGGTCATATACTTGAAACGCTAGTTATTCTATATTTAGCTTGCTACTCGCTCGATACTTGTACTGACCCCTTCAGAGGGCCCCACCATTTCAGGTTAAAGTTAAGGCTTGTCATCTACACCTATGCACGGGTGAAGAGAATCCATAGGAAGACATGATTCATGCTCCCTCTACTATTTCAAACGATAAACTATGCTCATGGATGCTTTTTTATTAATGCATATTTTGGCCCGCGAGCCTACGTTTTGGCCATGTGTGGCCCACGATTGATTATTGAATATTTCCGCTATTCAATTAATCTAAACTGTGATGTTGTTGTGTATGTTTACTACTGAGTATGGATACATTATGTTCATGGACGCCTTGTATGATTAAGACATGTGGATTTGCGAGTGACGTTACTTGGTCATACGACGGTTGTACACGCGCCTAGATGCGGTCTGGGGCGTGACACTTCTAATCCCTTGTTTCATGAACGTACTAAACACATTGAGCTGGATTATCATTTTATTCGTGATCATGTGTGTTCCGGTGTCATCATACCTTCCTATACTTCAACCAAGGAACAACTCGCAGATTTACTCACTAAAGCTCTTGGCGCTTCTCAGTTTCATTATCTTCTTGTCAAGATGGACATTCACGACCCCATGATCCATGTTGAGGGGGTGTTGGACTGTACATGGGTTTACATATATATGCACACATGCATGGACTGGTGAACAAATTATTTATGTAACAATTATTTGTGTACATTATTTTGTATGTATCCGGCTGCACATATTACGTATACGGTTAGCAATATTATAGGAGTAGAATTCTCAACTTATATGGTAAGTAGCGTGGCTTTCCTTGGAGGAACAAACTTTATATATACGTACGTTCGTATCATGAATAAACCACGAAGATTGCTTCAAATCAACTGTCTTCTTATTTTTTCGCAATTAATATCATCAATATCTTAATTTACCTTTTTACTGTGAGACTAGCGACCGTATTTCATTTTCAATTCCCTTATGTGATTTTATTGACACAATTATCAGGAACACACACATATGCATACACACACACACATATATTGGTATACATACATATAAATATATATGACGGGGTAAACACATATGTATACAATTTAGAAATTGTCCTAAATATGAGGGAAAACGTTTGTGTATTCCAAAATATCACTGCCATGTTTTTACTCTCTAAATATGAGTAATTACTACTAGGGGCGGAGCCAACAATTTGGTTCAGCAGGGTTAGAAACTAAAGGCATAATATATTTTAAACCTAAAAATAGTGTGAATACAAAGAAGTTCCAAGAAAAAAATGTTGGATAAAACATAAAGAATCAATTTGAAACTTTGGGATTAAGCTTATGAGTCACACTATGAAACTTTGGGAGCGAGTGGTTGAGCAAAGACTTCGTAAAAGTGTGTAAATTTCGGAGAATCAATTTGGTTTTATGCCTGGACACTCAACAACTAAGGCCATTCACCTTCTTAGACAAGTTGTGGAGAAGTATAGAGACACTAAAAAAGGATCTGCATTTGGTGTTCATTGACTTAGAAAAGGCATATGATAGGGTACCTCAAGAAGTTCTTTGGTGGGCCTTAACTAGAAAAGGCATATCACGTAAGTATATCAGTATCATCATGGGTATGTATGATGCATGTACTTCAAGTATCCGCACTAGTGTAGGGAGGACCGCGGAGTTCCCTATTTCTATCGGAATGCACCAAGGATCTGCTCTGAGTCCTTTCTTATTTGTTATAGTCATGGATGAACTTATGATCTGAAGTCAATTCAAGAAGATATACCGTGGTGCATGATGTTTGCCGACGATATTGTATTGATTGATGGGACACAATCCGGTGTTAAAGCGAAGTTGGAAGTATGGCGACAAACATTGGAGAGCAAGGGTTTCAGACTGAGCCGAAGCAAGACTGAGTATATGGAATGCAAGTTCGGTGGAGGTAGAAGTAGTAGCAACTGTGGGATTACTCTTGATGGTAAGGAGATACCGGTGTATGATATGTTCCGTTACTTGGGTTCCATAATTCAGAAGGATGGTGGGGATGGAGATGTGTGTCATAGAATCGGAGCTGGGTGGATGAAATGGAAGAGTGCTTCATGATTTCTATGCCGACTGAAAGGTAAATTTCATCGTACATCATTTAGGCCGGCATTAATGTATGGCGTAGAGTGTTGGGCGGTGAAGCAATGCCACATTCAAAAGATGAGAGTGGCAGAGATGCGTATGTTGCGTTGGATGTGTGGACATACCAGAAAAGGCCGCTTGAGGAATGAGGTAATCAGACAAAATGTGGGAGTAGCACCTATAGAAGATAAGATGCAGGAGCCTCGTTTGTGGTGGTTTGGGCATGTGCGCACAAGACCGAGTGATGCACCTGTTAGACGACTTGAGGGGTGGAGAGAAGAGGCAGAGAAGAGAGGGTGGGGGGGGGGGGGGAGACCCAAACAGATTTGGATTAGAGGAATCAGAACTGATATGCGTCTTCTTGGGTTGGATGAGAGTATGACTTTGGAGAGAGCAATGTGGAGGGCGCACATCCGTGTGGACGATTGATGTCTTGTCTACCTTTCCTCTCTTTTTTCTTTTATCGTTTATCTTTCTTATCTTTTTATATTCCTATGTTATTTTTATCTTCTAGCTTTTTTATGTTCTTTTATTTTTTCTTTTATCTTTCTTATATTCTTGTGTTATTGTTAGCTTATACTTATTTATCTTTATTTTATTCATTTTATCTTACTTTTTCTTTTTTCTTCCCTTTGTTGTCCGTCTTCTCTTTTTGGCATCGATATCATAGATCGATTCATGTTAGCTGACCCCAAATTCTTTTGGGATTAAGGCTTGGATGTTGTTGTTGTATTAGAATGTTACAAAATACAATTAATAATCTATTGATGTCATATTCAATATTGAACAATAATTATTATTAGTATATTTAAGCAGTTCTACATACCACATATTAAAAAATAACATATTCTCCTCAAATAACTTGAATAATATAGGTATAATTATATGAATAGTGATCTCTAACAAAAATAAATAAAATTATTTAAACAACATGGATATAAAATCATTTATCCCTAATATGATATTATGTATGTAGTCATTTTTATAGTTTTTAAAAAATATTTGAAAAAGTTTATATCGGACAAAGTTGTGTGACTCGACTCGCGGAATCCTTATGTAAATACACCCGTCACATAAGTGTATCCCTCTTCACTTGTCAGCTACTCAGCGGCTCAGCCATCATGAAGATGAACTGGTTTCTGGACATTATTACATTACTCATTAGTCATTAGGGTTGGTTTGTTTAAATGTTACGTAGGAGAAACTTAAAAGGTTATAGTGGGTTTGGGAAATTGAGCCTTTATTTTTGTATTTTAGTATTGGTAACCAACCTTTCCATCATTTGCAATGGAGCAAAAGATTCATTATTTTTTGGCTTGAGATTATGATGGTTTAAAGCAAAATGGCTCACTAAACTGTCTGCGCTTCTTTGTTATGAAGCAGCAGTCAGTGCATGCAATTTTGGACGAGATTTTCACTATGGGTCATCCGGAAACAATCTCTCTGTGCTTTAGTACAGGGGTAAGACTGCGTACATCCGACCCCCCCTTACCCCACCGTAGGTGGGAGCCTTTGCGGCACAGGGTAAATGAAAATGAAATGAAATGATGAGTATTTGTAACCAACCTAAGTATTAATTTTGGATTTCAATTAAAAATTGTAATGGACTTTTACAATATTTTAGAATTTAAAGTAATTGTTGGGTAGGGAGTCGGTACGGTATAATACCGGTATACCGCGATATTTGAAAACATTTACCGATACCTTGCCAAAACAAATTGGTACGGTATGATACCGTAACGAAAATGACCGAAAATGACGGTATACCAATATTCCGGTATTTTCTGGTATTTTTCGATACGATAAGTGCGGTATACCAATTTTTGTGTATTTTTACCCACCCCTACATACTACCTATATTTCAAGCCTCAATGTTAGATAGATATGAGCTCGAAATCTGTATTTTTGTGCAAAAGCTAAAACCAACAAAACACACTTAATTAGAGTGGAGGGTCAACAATAAGATTAGGTTAATATGTTGGATTGGATTAAATTAGATTCATTTTCCATCTCACCTAGCTTAAATCAGTATCCTATATACCCCTGCCTTCATATAAAGTTTATAGTATCACTTGTGGCAAAAAAATATCCTTTCCAATTCCTTTCTCACTTATCAGCTAAATACAGCATAGCACTTTGAAGACCCCTCTATATTTTCTCTGACTTTGTTCAACTCCTGCAGCTACCTCCGCCGCCCACACATCACCGCCTCTCTGTTTAATTGTTTATACAACTTTTCTTTGGTCACTCATCTTGTGCACACGTATGTATGAATCTCTGTATCATTTTATACAGTTATTTTTGAACTCAACTGTATGAGTTGCTTGATAATATCTTGTTATTAAGCTTCATTTAGACTGTTCAACTGTTGAGGTTAAGTTCAGGCTTTTTTCCTAGTACTTATCAAGTCCAAATTATACCTAGCTGGTGAGATGGGACATGGTAAATAGCTTTCTTGCCTTTCCAAAATTCTTGTCGGTAGAGCATCTTGTTTTGTTCTGGATATTCTTTTTGAATCTGACGACTTGCAAACTCCTTTTATACATGTGTATCTAAAATTAGCTTTTTGAGGGTAAAATTGTTGATATTAACATCTGATATGAGTCTAAGAACTCATGGAACTGTATGCCACGAATTTTTTGGCACAAAATTTTGAGGATGTTTCTTCTTGGTGATATTTTTTTCTGCTTTTATGGTCATAAATCATAATTACATGTGTTCTTCATATAAGCTGTTTGGCACTTTTATGTTAGAAAGAGAGTTGGGCGAATTTCAGCTTAGATGGGGGCTGTTTTCAATTTAACCATTTTCTTGCACGTTTTACCGCCTAAAAGTTTCAGCTTTGTGTGAATTTCATTTTAGATGGGGGCTGTTTTCAATTTTACCATTTTTTCCTTCTTTTTAAGCATTGTTTTTACTAAGAACACGATTCTGATGGGTCTTTTAGCCACAGTGAGATGGCTGCATATTTCTTAGACCACAATCACGCCTTCTGTATCTGAAGTTTTATGTGAAGCTAAATAGTTATGGGCTATAATCTCCTTGGCCCTTGCTTGACTCTTTGTTGGATTTCGTTTATATCGTCCTTTCAGGTTAAATTACTTTTGAGTGCCTTGAGTTTAGTAGAAGGGAAATTCAAAACGAAGCACCATCTGTCCTGTTGCTCTGAGTTGTTGAAGATTCAAAGAAATATTTAATGTACTTTCACTAGTCTAAAATGAAGACTTCACAGGTTTTTTCCTCCACACTTCTAAAAGTTTCGTATTTAATCATTCCTGTTAACACGTATTCACATAATGCAATCTTTTTCCAACATGCAATGGAATGCATAATTTTTTCCATGATATTTTTCATTTCCACACACAATTGTCTGGGCTCTCATGTTTTATGGAGCCATCTGGTGACTGTTTCTGTTATGTCTATAGGGTTAACAAATTTTAGTTGACACTGTAAGTATCTTGCCACTGACCCCAACTTGTTGGAATAAGTTGGCTGATGACATGTTGAGACATTTTGTTAAGAACTTGCAGGACTTACAAAAGTCTCAAGAAAAACAACCTTCAACGCAGGTCTCACATGATTCCCAAAATGATCAACTGAACAATACAACAGAGAATCCTGATGCAGATTCTGTGTCAGTGTCTGCATCTGGCAATGAGAATAGGAAAGTTTCACGTGAGGATATTGAGCTAGTAAGATATTAGATTCCCTCGTAACTTTTCTTTGTGCTATCATTTGACATCTTGTAGAAACTTTTGCATCTGATTATCTATGACAACTTTTGTTGGCTTAGGTTCAAAACTTGATCGAGAGGTGTTTGCAGCTGTATATGAATAGAGATGAAGTAGTGAAAACACTTCTAAACCGGGCAAGGATAGACCCTGGATTCACAACTCTAGGTAATTATTATTACATCAGTTAAATATGCTACTTAAAGAACATGGTTGGTTGCTAGTGTGCCCAGCCTTGCCTCCGAATATATTTCCACTATCTTATCACCATTCACTGTTATCACATGACCACTTGACTATGACTTTAGGGGACTAGATAAATTTCTCATTAGGCTTTCGATTCGAAGTTTAATATATATTTCTTCTACTACATACAGTGTGGCAAAAGTTAGAAGAAGAAAATGCTGATTTTTTTCGGGCCTACTACATACGCCTAAAACTGAAGAGACATATTATATTGTTCAATCACTTGCTTGAGCATCAATATCATCTAATGAAATATCCTATACCCCCCAAGGTTCCATTAGCTCCGTTGCAAAATGGTATTCACCCCATGACAGGTAAATTCAAGTTACTATTATCCATTAAATGATCATTGCAACTGTATGCATGATTACTTGAATTACATAGGCATCTCTTGTGAAATTCTCCCAAGTCCTAACCCAATTTGTTCATTTTCTATTTCGTTTGGGAAAAAAATTTAAAAATGTGCCCGTGGATGTTGTTGTAGTATTCTGCCAAACATTGTAATATTTTGCATCCTTTTAATGCGCTCATGGATATTCTATTCATAATTGTATATGATATGTTAAATGCACAAGCATTTGTAGCTCACATTATAAAATGTAAACTGCATTGTTGGACTCAAATGGATATAAAATGATCATGTGGTAGATGTAGATATGGTTGAATTGGCTGAATTTCTTAATATTATGGTTGAAATGGATGAATGAACTGAACTATGCAAAAAAATACTAACAAAGTAAACAGTGACAGTAAAGTGTCATGTATCTTCATTTCATCCAAAAAGCAGGCTTTTGTATGCTTTTTTTAAATATGTACTTCGAGTTGAAAAATGCATTTAACTAAGTAGGTGTTTGGTAAGAAACTGAGTGATAAGCAAAAAGTGTAGGGTACGAATTGAACTCATATTGTGGTCTTCACCTCGACCAGAATAGCAATTTCATTTTAGAGATCAGTATTAGATTGAGCATAATTGCTCTGTTCTATGCGTGTGTCTTTGAACCTGTATATTAATTTTTTTGTCACTATAAAAAGAGTAAATTTGTGATATTCAAATGAGTACTACCAACGAGTTTTTTTTTTTTAAATCTGGGACAGAAAGTACATAAAGATAGAGACCAAGCTCACTCAATAGCGTGTAGATGTTGTCAAAGAACGGAAGTATCGAGAAAATTATAAGCCTGGATTTGTTTTTTAACTTTTAATATATATATATATATATATATATATATATATATATATATATATATATATATATATATATATATATATATATATATATATATATATATATAGGGAGCGGTTCCGGTAAGAACGGATCTTAGGAGAGAAATGAGAACGAATCTGGACCGTTGGATTGAATTATGTGGAATTGAATTGTGCATTTGGTGAAACCGAAATGTGCATTAGATGATATTGAAATGTGCAGAATTAAAATTTAAACTCACATGTGCATTAGATGAAACTGAAATGTGCAGAATAAAAGGTACAAAAATAATATCACATCGTTCCTTTTATTGTACACATTTTAGTTTCATCTAGTGCACATTTCAAATTCACCTAATGCACAATTTAGCTTCATATAATGCCACTACATTGTACCATTTGTGCTGCACATTTCAATTTCACCTAATACACATTACAGCTTTATCTAATGCACATTGAATTTCACATAAAGCAAATCTAACGGTCCAAATTCATTCTCATTTTTCTCATAAGATCATGTTCTTATTTGAACCAAAACCTATATATATATATATATGGACTGGTTCTAATGAGAACAAGTTTTATTGTAAGAAATGAGAACAAATCTTAATCACTCATCGAAATTAATCAATGGATGAATTATGTCTTGTACACCTAATTATGGTGTGGATAATCATAGAAGATAATTTCCATATCTATATGATTTAATTTATGGTGCTTATTAAATGGTGAAGTTGTAATTCTGAAAAGGAGTATTTATTGTGGACAAAGTCTTATGTCTCTCACTTCCTTAAATTAGGGAAGTTTAAAACACAATTAATAGTACTTATCAGAATAAATAAACTAAAAAATAGAAGGTGATACATGTCATATAAAACATATACGGCTATCATCTAATACACAAGAAATTAATACAAATTTTACAAGTATATAACGCATAGGAACTAGCATCTAATGCACAATATGTATATAAAATATTCAAAGAAGTATATATCTTAAGCACAAAACCAGAATCTAGTGCACAACAATTAAAAACTAACTAATATCTAATGAATAATGATTTCATACAACTTAAACTACGGAGTATCATATAACACACAAGAATCAGTATCTAATGCATAATACATATGTAACCCAAGAAGGTAGTACCTAGCGCACAAGAACCAATATCAAACGCACAATCACCAAGATAAAATGCACATGAAAAATTATCATACATATAATACTTATATAATGCACAAGAATCAATATATAATACACAAGAAACGTATGAAAATAAATCATAATTTGATGCACGAGTTAATAACCATCCTTTGATGCATGTCTATGTAAATACACAAGAATAAATGTTTAATGCACATGAAATGGATATGTATTAATTGAGTCAAACAAAAATGGTCATGTATTGATTGGTTCCAAAAACAACTTGTTCTATTCCATATAATAACTTCAAAAACCCAGTTACCAACTATAAATAAATACGAAAGTGGACTAAACTTACACAATAGTGGCTGGTCAAACACTTACCAACTTAATCTACCGACGCATGATTACTAAAATACCCAATACTATAATTAAATTGTTATACGGATTTAGAGAGATGATTGGCTAGAATTTGTTCTCATTTTGTACGTTAAGAAGTGTTCTCATTTGAACCAAAATCTATATATATATATATAATGGATATTTTTGGAATGTTCTTCATCAAGTCTAGTTTATACACAAAAAATTCAGCTAAAAATCCAATCGGGAAGGCAGTCAAATAATTTTTGGAAGATATGTGCCAAATTATACATATGAAACACAATTATCTTCGAAAAATTATTTGACTGCCTTTCCGATTGAATTTTTAGCAGAAATGTTTTATGGATAAACTAGACTTGATGAGGAAGATGCCCAAAAAAATTTATCAAAAAATTCCACCAGGAAAGTGTCCAAACGCCGCTGTCCGGGCGGAGGTTCTGCTCCGGAAATCCGGACCTGAACTTTTCTCTCTCTCTCTATATTTCCATATATAATTGAGGAGACTATGAGCCCTAATGGAGCAATGGGCCTTTGAAGCATCCCGTTGCCCATTCCCCAGGACTGGTCCTCAATATCATCTTATCGAATGTTGTAAATGACCTTAATTTTTCATCATCCCTACCCTACTTTCTTTAGGGTTCTACACTATCAATATACCTACAATTTTTACTCTTAACAGTCTGAAAAGATCATCGGAGCAAGAATTGAAGAGAGGTAGTATTTGCTACTCCCTCCCACAAGGATAAACTTGTATCCTATTTCTTTTCCGTCCTCCAAGCTAGTCCAGTTTCTATATTTGATGTGCATTTAATTTTTCATTTGTAAGTCTATCCCTTACTAACTATTCATTTCCAAAATTCCAAGGTATTGGTAACCCATTTAATAACTTTTTCACACCTTTCATTGTGGAACAGATGGATAAATTTGCAATTTCTCTCTATTTAACTTAATCTTGTGTGTATGCATCGGGTGTGTGAATGTAAACATGACATATGAGTGTATGATATACTCCTATCCCATTTTGTGTGTCTTTAGGCTTCGAGGCAGGACTCACATTATTCACATATTTTTTGTAATATCGGTTAATAAAACATGTATGCTTAGAAACTAAGTGAAAATCACTACCCCCCCCCCCCCCCCCCCCCCCAGTTAGTTGACGCTTTAGAAAAGCACACAGAATAAGTAGCCTTTTAAAGTGACTCTTTTACCCTTATTCAAGGTTAGCATCAAACGCATTTAATATAGGAGCAGTAATATGGCAAATTTGGAAGGTTAGTAAAAAATACAGATTGAATTCTGAAGCTGGTAATTGAGTTGAGACAATTTTTTTACGAAAATGTTTTTTACTAAAATGACAGTTAATATGAGACAGATAGTACTAAACACACTAAAGCAAATTATAAGTTATAGTAAAGTGTCCAAGAAAATAAGTGAAGAACGAAGAATCGGTTGACCACTTGACCACATAATACATGCCAAGAAGCATGGATTGCTATGATGCTGTCTAATCTGATCTAGTTATTTAGTGAGTCAGTAACTCTTCTTTTCAGTGCAGTCAACAATTTACCCATGGGTTATCCTGTCATGCAACAACCGCCAGTTCCTGCTACAGGTCAACCTCATATGGATTCAATGGGCTTATCAGGCTGCCATGTGGTCAATGGGATACCTGCACCAAGCAACTTCCATCCGATGCAGATGAATTCTGTAAATGAGTAAGACTCTATTGTCCTTCATGCCGCCTTTGGTTTTGAGTTCATCAATAAAAAGCATCCATAATTGATCCATCAATGCTGTTTTCTTCTGTTATTGTGGTTTATCTTTCCAAGAATACTCACCTTATTCTTTTCTTGAGCATCTACGTGTTTCTTTACTTGTAGTCATCAGCTACTTATCATGCATAGCCTATAGCCATCTCTTTAGACACAAGAACATTTGAAAATGGTTTGATTTGACATAGTTTCGAATCAGGAGATGGCGAGATGCTGCTAAAATATGACACGTGTCTCAGAGCTTCATAAACAAGATAACTGTGTGGCCATCTTTTCAAACTAAACATATCTCCAGATTTACCCAATTTTCAAGTGCATCATTATGCTCAGTTTGTTCATACAAAAATAACTTGTAGTGGTAGATGTTTTCCAGGAGAATAGTTCCTAGAAAATAAGTTGTGGCCATGTATAATATAATGTTTGAAAACATGAAGTCATTTTCCACAAGTCTGAAGAATCAAGAGATCTTTCCTTCTTTTTCTTTGCCAAACTCCTGAAAAACTTATTTTCCTGAATGTGAACAAGAAATTGTATTCCAGGGTTTATGTGAACAAAAAGGGCTTGTTTTGCACATAATACACATCTGACCACAAATGATGTTCTTTACTTTTGTCTTTATTGCAGTATGGTGATTGAAACAAGTGCATCAGATGTGTCTGCATCAGCCGCTCCGGCATCAGCCACTCCACCGAGCAATGTTGTTTCATCGATCCCAGATATGCCTGTAAGCAGCAGCCCCACACAAGCGGCTGCCTCCAGTGGCCATTTTCCCTTTACTGCATCAGAGATATCTGGGATGGGAGTAGACACATCTGCCCTTGACACAGCATTTGCATCTGATGCTAGCTCAGTTGGACTACATCTCCCTACTGATAATGGAGCTGGAAATTCTAGAGATTTTCTCAGATCCTTAGCGCAGATTCCTTGGAATTTCAGTCTGTCAGACCTAACAGCAGATTTACCAAATTTGGGAGGTAATTTAGAAGAATCATTAGAGTCGTCTTGTAACCCAGAAAATGCAAGGGAAAGAAAATAAAAAAGAAATTTGAAGGCAAATTTGAGGGGAATTTCAATAAGGTTCAAACTCAATGAATAAAGTTTAGATACTTGTTTGAACCCATTATATTTGTATAGTTGAATTATTTAAAGATTAAGAAACCTGAACATATGTGGAATTTTAAAAGTTGCAATTAAATTTGGTTTCATGTTTGCTGAGGTTCCCCCCTTCCAAAAAAAACTATTTGCCTTTGTTGTAAGAATTAAAGATAGAATAGTAATGAGAAGAATGATTTTTGTATGTATTTCATTGGAGGGTCAAGCCCATATATATATACATTACAAAGATAGAATATTCCTTTAAGATTCTATACAATAATAATATCCTAGAGTATATTCCTAAAATATTCTAAAGCATATTCTAAAGATAGAAGAATATTCTAAAACATATTCTAAAGAATATTCTATAATGTCTTTCACACTCCTCCTCAAGTTGGAGCATAAATATTTATCATGCCCAACTTGTTACATAAGTAACCAACACGAATTCCATTTAGTGCTTTAGTGAACAAATCTCCAAGTTGCTCTCCAGTCTTCACATGTCCTGTAGAGATCAATCCTTGTTGTATCTTTTCTCGAACAAAGTGACAATCGATCTCAATATGTTTTGTTCTCTCATGAAACACTGGATTGTTGGCAATGTGTATAGCAGCTTGGTTATCGCACCAGAGTTTAGCAGGCATTGGTGTCTTCAATCCCATTTCACTCAATAAATGGTTTATCCAGATTATCTCACATGCCGATTGTGCCATAGCCCGATATTCTGATTCAGCACTCGAACGAGAAATCACATTCTGCTTCTTACTTTTCCAAGAGACGAGATTACCACCAACAAAGACGCAATACCCAGATGTGGATCTTCTATCATCTTTAGATCCAGCCCAATCAGCATCTGCAAAGCATTCTATTCTCATGTGATTATGATTCTGATAAACAATACCTCGTCCCGGTGTCCCCTTCAAGTAACATAATATATGCTCTACAGCATTCCAATGATCCACTGTCGGAGATGACATGTATTGACTTACTACACTCACTGAGTATGCAATATTTGCATCTGGACGGGTAACTGAGAGATAATTAAGTTTTCCAACCAACCGTCTATATCTTTCCGGATCTTCGAATGGCATACCTTCATGAGTGAGTTGTACATTGGGAATCATGGGAGTACTGCTTGGTTTTGCCCCCAATTTCCCTGTTTCAGTTAGTAAGTCAAGCACATATTTACGTTGAGATAGAAATATGCCTTTCTTACTCCGTGTAACCTCAATTCCCAAGAAGTATTTCAATGAGCCCAAATCTTTCGTCTGGAATTGACTATGAAGAAAATTCTTTAGGGCCAAAATACCTGTATTATCACTCCCTGTAATCACAATGTCATCGACATACACCACAAGCAACGTAATACCTGTTTTCGTTTGTCTGTAAAATACAGAGTGATCTGATTTGCCTTTTATCATCCCAAATCGTTCAATTGATTGGCTGAATTTCCCAAACCATGCACGGGGACTCTGTTTCAAACCATAAAGAGACTTGCGAAGTCGACAAACTTTCCCATACTCCCCCTGAGCAACAAACCCCGAAGGTTGCTCAATATAAACTTCCTCCTGAAGATCACCATGCAAGAATGCATTCTTAATGTCCAATTGATGTAAGTGCCAACCATGAGTTGCTGCGAGAGAAATAAGTAATCTGACAGATGTTAATTTAGCAACAGGAGAAAATGTGTCAGAATAATCAACGCCATAGGTTTGAGCATAACCCTTCGCAACTAATCGGGCTTTCAATCGAGCAACGGATCCGTCAGGGTTAACCTTTACAGCAAAGACCCACTTACATCCTATAGACTTCTTCCCTGTAGGCAAGTCTACCAAATCCCAGGTACCATTAAGATCCAAAGCATTCATTTCCTCTACCATGGCATGACGCCAATCAGGATGAGACAAAGCATCTTTAACAGATTTGGGAACAGAAATAGAATCAATGGAAGCAATAAAAGAACATGAGGCAGATGATAACTGATTATACGACACACATGAAGAAATAGGATGAGTACAAGACCGTGTACCTTTACGTAGTGCGATGGGGAGATCAAGATCTGATGTAGAGACAGGATCTGAAGATGCAGGTGTCGGTTCAGGATATGAGATCGGATCAGTATCAGGAGAAGTAACCACAGGTGGAGGGTGATCTTGCACTTTGTGTCGACGGGTGTATACCAAGTGTATCGGAGGCCTAGGCTCAGGAAAAGTAACATGGGGAAGAACTGCTGAAGTATTGGACTCGGGTATAGTGACTGTGTAAATGAGTATATCATCATTCTCCCTACAGATATTTGTGTCTGTTGATGAAAATGGTGTATTTTCATAAAAGGAGACATCAATTGAAACAATATACCGACCTGTACTTGGAGAAAAACATCTGTACCCCTTTTGAACTCGAGAGTAGCCTAAGAAAATGCACTTTAATGACTTGGGATCTAACTTTGTTAAATGGGGATTAACATCTCGTACAAAACAAGTGCAACCAAAAACTTTAGGAGGAATAGGAAAATTTTCATTATTTAGAAATAGGCACTGATATGGAGTTTTACCATCTAAAACAGTAGATGGCATTCGATTGATCAAAAAACATGCGGTAGACACAGCATCTGCCCAAAAATGTTTTGGCACATTCATTTGGAATAGAAGAGCCCGCGCAGTTTCTAATAGATGTCTGTTCTTTCGTTCAGCAACTCCATTTTGGGGAGGTGTGTCTACACATGAAGTTTGATGAATTATGCCATGTTGAGCCATATACAACTTAAATGAGGCAGACAAATACTCTTGAGCATTGTCTCCCCTTAAAATACGAACATGTACATTAAATTGAGTTTTGATTTCAGCACAAAAGGCACAAAAATGAGAAAATAACTCGGAACGACGTTTCATGAAATAAATCCAAGTCATACGAGAATAATCATCAACAAAGGTAACAAAATATTTAAAACCAGATTTGGACACAACAGGGCAAGCACCCCAAACATCAGAATGAACCAGTTCAAAAGGAGCATGTGCTCGTTTATTGACTCGAGGACTTAGACTACTTCGATGATGTTTTGCAAATTGACACGAATCACACTGTAAAGATGACACCTTATTGAATTGAGGATAAAGCTTCTTTAACAACGGAAGAGAAGGGTGACCTAGTCGATAGTGAGCCTCTAACACAGTTCCAATGCCAAGACAAGAGATTGATTTGGGTAAGGATGTATCCAAGAGATAGAGACCGGCCGACTCATATCCTTTACCAATAACCTGATTCGTCAACAGATCCTGAAATACACAATATCCAGGAAAAAAGGTTACGGAACAATTAAGTTTACGTGTGATTTTGCTGATCGAAATCAAATTGAAAGCAAAATTTGGAAGACTTAGGACGGGTGACAAAGGTAAGGTAGGTGTTGGGACAATTGTACCCGTACCAAGAACGGGTGACGTAGATCCGTCAGCCAAAGTCACACTAGAAGAATGAAGAGGTGTGTGGAATGAGGAAAAAAGACTAGGATTACCTGTCATATGATCTGTTGCTCCTGAATCGATAACCCATTTTGAGGATGAAGATACAAGACATGTGTTTGGATTACCTGAATTAGCTACAGCTGAGATAGGAGTAGATGAATGCTTTAGAGCCTCCTGGTAACCTAGGAATTTGGCATATTCCTCCGAAGACATAATGATGGATCCATTAGATGGCTGTGTAGCGGAAGCAATGTGAGCGACTTGATTTCCTTGATTTTTGAACTTTAGCTTTCGACAATCTTTGATCAAGTGTCCGGTTTTCTTACAGTAGTTGCATACTACTCCTTTGCCAATCGGTCCTGTGCGTGGCCACTTCTCACCTCCATTGGGGAATGTTGGGACTTGTCCCACAAAAGCATTGCTTGGCTGAGGTGCTGATGATGTGGATGAAGTGTCAGTGCGAAGCACTCTACTGAAAGCATCTTGAAGAGAAGAGACCACATCACTAGATAGGATATGTGATTTGGCTGTTTCAAAATCAGACGTAAGACCAGCCAAAAAGCTCATGACTGCCATTTGTTCGCGTTGTTTCTGCTGCACTTTGATATCAGGACTAAAGGGCATTAAGGTATTAAGTTCTTCATACGTTTTCTTGAAATCCATAAAATAAGCTGTGAGAGGCTTATCTTTCATTTCTGCCCTGTAAAAGGCTTTGTACACCTCATAGATGTGGTTAAGATTACCTTTGCCAGAATACATAAATTCCAAATAATCAAAGAGTTCTTTCACAGTATCACAATGACTAACATACCCCATGACGTCATTCTCCATGGAGTTCTGAATCTGGATAAATAATCTAGAATCATCACGAAGCCAGACAGCATTAGCAGCTCTATCAATCTCCTCCTTTGGCGGGTCATCAACTAAGTGGGTGTATTTATCAATGCTTCGTAAATAACGTTTGATAGTTTTACTCCATTCAAGATAGTTAGAGCCACAAAGTTTATTCTCAGTAATTTTAAAATTAATGGGAATAACTTCGGAAACTACCAAAGGCTGAGCATGTTGTACGGTGGAAGTGTCTGTATCAGAACCAGGCATAATTTTTTTTTTTGATTTTTTTTTTTTTGACTTTTTTTTTTTTGACTTTTTTTTTTTAATTGCAGAAATAAGATGCTATGTATTAAGTAAACTTACAACGACCAAAATACTATCCTTGAATGTCGTTGTTACTTAATAAGCAAAGTCACAGAAAGATAATACCGTTCAAGACACCGGAAAATAGTTCCGATGGATTCTCCGGCGATTGGGTCTGCGATTAGGTCTGCGAGGTCCTCTGACGGCGCGTGTGGCCTGCGGATTTCGAGTGTAAGGTCGGCAGCGGAAGGCGTGACTGCTTAGGGTGGAGGTGATGCTATGTGAAACTGTGGATTTTGGACTGAGGTTCTGAATTTTGGGCTAAGGTTCTGGCTGAGGCATGAACTGAGATTCTGAAAAATACTGCTAAGCTAAACTGGAACAGATTGCTCTGATACCATGTTGTAAGAATTAAAGATAGAATAGTAATGAGAAGAATGATTTTTGTATGTATTTCATTGGAGGGTCAAGCCCATATATATATACATTACAAAGATAGAATATTCCTTTAAGATTCTATACAATAATAATATCCTAGAGTATATTCCTAAAATATTCTAAAGCATATTCTAAAGATAGAAGAATATTCTAAAACATATTCTAAAGAATATTCTATAATGTCTTTCACAACCTTGACAAATTTTCCCTTTCCCTTCTAATTTGCGGATTCCAGACATAGTCTTGAGGATACTTTCATATGACTAATTTGCAAGGTCATTTATAAACAGGATATAGTGCTCAGTGGTGGGTGTTATTTTTAAAAATTTAAATACGTATAGAAATGCCTTAGTTCACATCAAAATATGAGGTCTCTGTAAAATTCTCTATTTTTTCTGAAATTATGTCTTTCTCAATCCTTTCATGGCTGACAGAATTTGGTAGTGTAACAATAACAGCAAAGATTACTTATATACTAGTAGCCGTGGACCCGTGGTGGTGATGATGATAGTTATAGAAAATGTAAATGAACATCGGAACATTTGTTTTCTTAGCTAAGCAGAGACATTTGTATTAGCAGGTAGTAATATATATATATTGATGTGGTCAAGTGAATTTCATTAGTTGGCTTATGCTCTATTTTAATCACTTGACCACTTGCTTCCCCCTAAAATCATTTTATATGCCAAAAGTTTTAGTAGCTTAAGTACTTTAGCCCAAAATACATGTATGAAAACGTGATTTATGGAGCAACAAACATGCACTGTCTTCAGCAAGAACAAATCTGTTACGACAAGTGGACTTCTAAAGTTTTTTTTTTAAAGTCTTCTTAGGGTGTGTTTGGGAGTTTGAGGGTGAGGGAAGGAGAAGGTTTTGAAGGGGAGTAGAGAGAAGGGAAGGGGAGGGAGATGGGAAGGGATTACCCAGGTTTTGGAGGGTTTAGAAGGATTTTATAACACCCCCAAAACCTTTCCCTCATATTATTTAAACTCCCAAACACAAATAGGAGGGTTTATTTCCCTCACATGCCTTCCCCTCCCCTCCAAAAACCAACTCCCAAAAACACCCTTAAGGTTTTAAGTGTCTGGTTTCAATTTTGTTAAATTTATTCTAATTAGTGCTAACTGTTATGTGATATTGATAACAGATCTAGGAACTCTTGGAAATGACAGTGGCTCACCCTTTTTGCATTCTGATTCAGATATTTTACTTGATTCTCCAGAGCAAGATGGCTTAGGTGAGAATTGTTTCATTCCTGCATATGATTTTTCATACTCCGTAAACAACAAAGTGAATGGTCTATGTAAATTATGTCTTTGCTACTTGGTTCTCCATGTTGATTATTATTAGAGATAAACTTCACCATAATATTATCCCTCCCTATTTTTCCTTCCACTCTCCACCAGCCTAAACCCTGCATAAGATTCAGTACTTCAGTAGTAGGGCATATATATCAAGTAAGCAAAAGTAGTTCGCATAAGGCTTTTATGCGGATTTCAGCTGATCTGATTTTGTCTGTTTCGGTTTGTTGTAGTCGACGAGTTCTTTGCTGATTCCATCCCTGGATCAACAGGAGCTCAATCGGATGAAGAAAACCCCTAGATAAGTCAGGATATCTACCGGTACCCTTGAAATTCGACAGTAAGAACAAGTGGTGCAGTACAATGATAACAAATCGAAGACAACAATGCATAGTGAAGATTTCTTACTCAGTTTCGCTGTCAAGGGACTTTGTTGTTTAACTATGTAGACATTCTAGCTTCATAAGCAGGTATTAGTGCTTTATTTAGATTTATGTATTTTCCAAATCAAACTGTAATCTGTAATCTGTAATCTATGTATGGCAGTGTATGATCAAGTAATTCATAACGGAGCTAAGTCTTAGTTCTGCAATGTCCTATTTCCGAAATATGACTTGTTAGTGTCTTGATGAATGCAAAGTACTGCAACTTTACTAAAATGTGGAATAAAATGTGGAAGTAAATACTGTCATCTTTGTCCTATTTAGGGAAGAAAAACATAACAATTTTATTTTAGAATTCCAAACTCTATTTAATCCTATTTTGGGAAATCTCCCTATGGACAAGAGTTGCCTCATTTTTATGCTTGAGAATATCATTGGAGATGGTGCTCTACCAAGAGTTCTAGCTAGCGATGGACCGGTTCCGGGTCGGGCCGGGCCCGTCTGGGATTTTTGTGGGGGAAGTGAGGCCCGGAACCTGCCTGGGTAGCCGGTGGTTCCGGGCCGGTCCTGGGCCGGGCCGGTCCGATTTTTTTTTCTTTTCTAATTAACCCCTGACCCCCCCTTCACCTAGGGGTGGACTCGGGCCAGGCCAACCGGCCCGGAACCGGACCGGTCCGCTACTGTGCAGGCCCGGACCGGCCCAGTGAACCGGTTGGTTGGCTGGTTCGGGCCACCCGGCCCGGTGGGATGTCGGTTCGGGCTCGGGCCCTTCAAAAGGTGAACCGGCTCGGCCGGTTCGGGTTCGGGCCAGGCCATTTTTTTTTTGAATTTTTTTTAAGTTTTTGGGTTGGGCTGGGTATTTTGGGCCATTTGAGGTGGTTAGGGTTGGTTTGGGGGTGAGGGGGAGGGTTGGGGATTAACTAGGAAAAGCCAAAAAAAAAAAAAAAAAAAATAGAACCGAGGCCCGGCCCGGACCCGGGGCTTACTCGGGCCGGTTTCGGGCCTCCCCTTCATGATCGAGGCTCGAACCGGAACCGGTCCATCCCTACCTTCACCCCCAACCCCTCCCCCCTCCCCCCCCCCAAAAAAAACACCCTACCCTACCCAGGGAAAACCAAAAAAATTGGAAACACCAAAAAAAGGCCCGGATCGGACCTGGCCTGGTTGGGCCGGTTCACTAAATTAAGGGCACGTACCCGGCCCGCCCCAATCCCCCTACCGGGCCTAGGCCTGGAATCGGTTACCCTAGACCGGGCTGGGTGGCCCGGGCCCGATCCATCCCTAGTTTTAGCCCCAATCCCCATGGATTCTTTCACGATCGGATCCCACGCATATGAACGGTGAACCTAGTCATAATTAATAAGCAAATAATAAAGTCATAAATAATATGCAAACAATAATTACACGAAATACGTGCATTCGAAATTCAACCCGGGCCTGTTCCGGGCCCAAAGATTTGCAAAAAAAGCCCGCCCGGATCCGGCCCGGAACCGGACCGGCTCGGGTCCATCCCTAATTCGAATCATGCAATTAAAAATGAAGATGCAGTTGTGTAATTAAAGAAGCAGTGTAACATTTTTGAATGATTTTGTGTAATTTTATTTACCAACAATTTTTTGTACACCTTTCTTGCACACACTACCTAATTGCTTGTAGGCATGGACTCGGGCGGTAGTCGGGCCGGTCCGGCCTGGGCCCTACCGGGCTTTTTTTGGGGAAGTGAGGCCCCGAATCGGCCCGGGTACCTACCGGGTCCGGTTTGGGCCGAGCTACCCGGCCGGGTAGCGGGTCGGGTATAGGGCGGGCCGGGTTGGGTCGAACTGGGTATTTTTTTTTTCAAATTAATTCAAGAATTGTTGGATATAAAAAAGTTAAAGTATATTTATTTGAAATATGTAGTACAATTGAGAATTGAGAAAAATTTAAAACATGAAATATATTTTCTAATAAATATAATCGATCGAAATCTTCGTCATCTTCAATTGTTTCCTCCATAAAGTGGGGGACTGGTGGACTCGGGCCGGGCCAACCGGCCCGGAACCGGACCGGCCCGCTACTGTGCGGGCCCGGACCGGCCCGGTTTGTCGGTTAGGTCACGGTTCGGGCCACCCGGCCCGGTCATGTAGCGGTTCGGGCCCGGGCTTATAATTTGGTGAACCGGCCCGGCCGGGCCTGAACGGTCACATTTTTTTTTTTTTAAAATTTGAAGGCTCTACTAGCCGTTGGGAGACCTCCCAAACGGCTCTATAGCCGTTGGGAGCATAGGAGGGGGGGTCTGGGGGGTTAGGGGGGGGTGGGGTGGGGGTGGGGGTGGGGTATACAAAAAAAAACCTATTTATACTCCTATTTTCTATACATTTTTTACACCTCTTCTTCTACAACTCTTCCTACTCTCTAAAATCTAAATTCTCTGTTCTCTTAATCTCTCATATTCAATCATCTTCATTCTTCATCTTCTCCAAATTCTTTCTACATATATATAATTTATATAATTATTATATCTACTTATATATTATAATATTAATTATCTACTTATAAATATATACTTATACACATTCATATTATAATTCTTTACGCATTATATTATATACTATATATTGTTATACATTATATTATATATTACTTATAATATATTTACACATTATATATTTATATATACTATATATAGTTATACATTATATTATATATTACTTATAATATAGTTATACATTATATTATATATTACTTATAATATATTTACACATTATATATTTATATATACTATATATAGTTATACATTTGATTTATATATACACTTCTCGTTTATCTATTTAATTACTTAATTGTTTCATTTGTCATATTAATATTAGTTAAAGTAGTTAAAGTTAATTGTTTCATTTGTCATATTAATATTAGTTAAACTACTTAATTGTTACATTTCTCATATTAGTTAATTAGTTAATTGCTACATTTTTACATTTCTCATATTAGTTAATTGCTACATTTGTACATTTCTCATATTAGTTAATTAGTTAATTGCTACATTTTTACATTTCTCATATTAGTTAATTAGTTAATTGCTACATTTTTACATTTCTCATATTAGTTAATTAGTTAATTGCTACATTTTTACATTTCTCATATTAGTTAATTGCTACATTTGTGCATTTCTCATATTAGTTAATTAGTTAATTGCTACATTTTTACATTTCTCATATTAGTTAATTAGTTAATTGCTACAATTTTACATTTCTCATATTAGTTAATTGCTACATTTGTGCATTTCTCATATTAGTTAATTAGTTAATTGCTACATTTTTACATTTCTCATATTAGTTAATTAGTTAATTGCTACAATTTTACATTTCTCATATTAGTTAATTGCTACATATCTCATTAACGTAAAAAAAACTAGTTAATTTTTACATTTCTCATATTAGTTAATTAGTTAATTGCTACAATTTTACATTTCTCATATTAGTTAATTGCTACATATCTCATTAAAGTAAAAAAAACTAGTTAATTTTTACATTTCTCATATTAGTTAATTGCTACATATCTCATTAAAATAACAAAACTAGTTAATTTTTACATTTCTCATATTAGTTAATTGCTAATATTTGTTCAATTTTAAAGATGGAGCGTGGTAGACATTCTGTAGATGTGGGTAATCTCCAACGCAACCGCAAGAGGGAGATTGCATCGACTCGATCTACTTCACGCAAAGGCAAAGGTAAAGCGCGGGCCGAGTCTTCTTTTCAAAGTCGAGATGATTTTGAAACGGATTACCAACGGCGAGATGGTATGATGATGTCCGACGAGGAACTACAACACCTATTGTCCCAAAATGATCCACGTTTTGCACAAGAACAACAATTCCCGACAACCATCGATGAAGAGGAGCTCGAGGATGACGATGGGGAGGAGGACGCGGGGGGCGACGGGACTCCGGATGATGAGCAAGAGGACGAGGGCCCTTCAACGACTACAACCAAAATTGGTAAGAAATCTAAATCTGCTATTATTGAAAACAATTATACAAAAAGGAAAGACGAAAAAACCGAAAAATGGTACGCAAGTTGCAATCATTGCAAGAAAGAGTTTAGCTTGGGAATTTCTGGCGGATACGAGAGTCTCAAAAGGCATCTTCAGTCCACCCACGTTGTGGAGTATGCGAAAATAGACAAAGGAAAGGGGAATCAAACACAAATATCAAGGTTTGCAAATTCTCAACCCTTTGGTAATTTTTCCTATGATGATAAAAAACATTTGACTGGTATGTCTCATTTAATTGTTGAAGAAAATTTACCCTTTATTTTTTCCGAAAGTCTTGCTTTAAGAGATTATGCTCAAGGTACTTTAAATCCTCAATTTAGAAATTATAGTCGCAAAACGATTAAAAAAGAAGTTATAAGGCAATATAACTTGGAAAAAGAAAAATTACAAATATTTTTCTCAAACATTGATGGACGTGTTAGTATTTGTAGCGATATATGGGAGGATACTTATCATCATTTATATTATTTGGGTCTAACTGCACATTATATTGATGATGATTGGAATATGCATAAACGTGTTCTTGCTTTTCGTGAATTCAATGATCGTCACACTGCTGATAATATTTATATTCTCATTGAACGTATTTTAATTGAGTATAATTTGATTGATAAGGTGTTTGCTGTAGGTTTTGATAATGCTAGTAATAATACTGCTGCTATACCTAGATTACGTGAATTGTGTGGTGCTTCTACATTGATGGGTAGATTTTTTCATCAACGTTGTGCATGTCATATTCTAAATTTGTGTGTACAAGATGGCTTAGCGGCATTAGGAAATGCTTTGGAGGTAGTGAAGGGGGGAATTAAATTGATTTGGGCTAACACTCCACTAAAAATGCAATGGCGGCAATATTTGAAGGATAGACGTGTGAATTATTGTGCTTTTCCTAAAGATTTGTCTATTCGTTGGAATAGTACTTATAATTTAATTCAAGTACTTGTTAGATATAAAGATCATTTTCCAGCTTTTTTAAGACAAACTTGTAACTATATTATAAACCCGGCTGACATCGACACTTGTGAAAAAATTGTTAATGTTTTGGCATATTTTAATAACGCAACTCTAACTTTTAGTCATGTTTATAAACCTACTGCAAACGAATTTTTTGTTGAAGCTGTTAATCTCGCCGGCGCTTTTTGTGAATTTTCCGACGCCGCTTACGTTAGTTATTTTTGTGATTTCATGAAACAAAAGTTTTTAAAATATTATTCACATATTCCGCATATATATGGTATTGCATTTGTTCTTGATCCTCGTTATAAACTTCCT